TAGGCTGTGGTCTGAATATCGTGAGGTATATAACCCCCAAACACACCCTATCCGGCAATGGAAACGCTGACTAATGCCTAGGCTGTGGTCTGAATCCCCAGACTCACCCCTATCCAGCATTGGAAATGAAAACACTGACTAATGCCTAGGCTGTGGTCTGAATCCCCAGACTCACCCCTATCCATCATTGGAAATGAAAACACTGACTAATGCCTAGGCTGTGGTCTGAACCCCCAGACTCACCCCTATCCAACATTGGAAATGAAAACACTGACTAATTCCTAGGCTGTGGTCTGAACCCCCAGACTGTGGTCTGAATCCCCAGACTCACCCCTATCCAGCATTGGAAATGAAAACACTGACTAATGCCTAGGCTGTGGTCTGAACCCCCAGACTCACCCCTATCCAACATTGGAAATGAAAACACTGACTAATTCCTAGGCTGTGGTCTGAACCCCCAGACTCACCCCTATCCAACATTGGAAATGAAAACACTGACTAATGCCTAGGCTGTGGTCTGAACCCCCAGACTCACCCCTATCCGGCATCAAAAATGGAAACACTGACTAATGCCTAGGCTGTGGTCTGAATATCGTGAGGTATATAACCTCCAGACGCGTCCTATCCGGCATCGGAAACGCTGACTCATGAAGCTCGTCCAATCACTTCATATAAGAAACAAATACTCCAAAGCTCTTCAAAATAAGAGTATAGGGAAAATACTAATAAAGTACTCCCGTACGTTCCCGTATGTCGACACATAATAGTGTCAAAAAGAAGAACTATCGGATGAACACATAGTTCAAAAACACCTAATGAACATATATTTTGAGAACACCTTATGAAGATATAGTTCAAACATACTTACCGATTACAAGTCTGCTAACGTTCCACTGGACTATCTAAAATAGTCTGTGGCCGTTATCTATACTCTGCTAGATGACTAGATCATCTTAAACATCGGTACCTCTCATCACTTTTATTTCATCATACATCATCTAATTCATCTACTCATGTTTTACCCAACATATTTGTAGATAAAAATACATATACAGTTTAAAACTTGTATAAAACATCAATTCAACAGTCACCTCAAATAAACAATTAATATATTTACACATAGCACGTATTTCAAGGTAAATACTTCATATATATATGTGTAAGATGAAAGTAACTATACACTCACCTGATTTAATGAAAATCGGACAGCAATTCGTTTCCTAAAACGATCGTTTCTAATAAAACCGGGAGTTTTATTGAGAAACCGGGCTCTACGAAGGTCGGGCTTTGAAACCGAAAAAATAAATTTCCCGGGCTTCTCGGGCACTCCGGGACGTGTTCCGGGCATTGGAAATGATCTCGGGGCATCGGGGGTGGTCAAAATAACCAAAATATTGAAAAATGGGTAAAAATGGGCAATTTCCCAAAATTACCCGGGAAGGCTCGCATGCCTTCTATTTATAGGCTGCGAGGTCCGAAGTCGGTTGATCAGAAGGGCGAGTCAGCGAGGCAGGTGGCAGCAGCAGCGAAGGCCACGTACTCGGATCCGGAGGAAGACACGCGTCGGACACGGGGCGCCCTCGGATTGGACCTGCGAAGCTCGGATACGAAGCGTCACCGTACACGCGTCGGATGTGCGAGGGCCGAGACTTCGGTCGAATCAGGAAGCGACACGCCTCGCCAGCTGGCCTCGGGTGACTCAGCAATTCGGACACGTGGCGCGCTACGAGTGAAGGTGACGTGGCAATTCCGGGTGAAGCTCATCCATGCGAAATTTCTCGAATTTTGTGCCAAAATCTTCTAAACTTCATAACTTTCGCATACGAGCTCCGTTTTTGACGTTCTTTATATGCACGCGTAGGTAAAATTACGCTCTACAACTTTTGTTTAGACTTCGTCGGCTAACTTTGATTTATTTTTAAATTATTATTTTTAACAGACCGGGACTCGAAATCCGTTAAAAATTCATAACTTCTTCATCTGACGTCCGTTTTCGTCAGACTTTTTACCGTTGTGCTACTAATGACGAGACCTTCGATTCTCGTTTAGGTCGTGTCGGCTAAAAATCTCTCGATCTAAAATTCGAGTTTTTAGCTGTCTACTACTAAGCTGAAACTTCGAAAAATCATAACTTCCTCATACGAAGTCAGATTTGGGCGTTCTTTTTATACCTACTCTCGGTTTAACGAACACTACGAGTTTCGTTTAGATCACTAAGGCCAAAAAGTAGTTTATCAAAAACTCACTTTTTACGACATTCGGCACCGTGTCGGTTTATCGTGAAACTTCGACAGGTCATAACTTCTTCGTTATAACTCGGATTTCGGCATTCTTTATATATCCGTAATCCTTGTCACGTCCACTACAAGTTTCTTAATAGATATCGGCTTTATCTAAAATTTAATTTTTGACGCTCATTTTTATTCTTAATTAATTAAATCCTAATAATTAAGCATAAAACACATAATTCACATAATATTCACATAATTCCTTTTCATTTCTTCTAAATGAGTTACAAAGGTTAACCTAGACCATTATGTCAATATTAATGCCTAGCCTAGAAACACGGGCGTTACATGTCAAAAGATAATTATGGTTATATTACTGATTTAAAACAAAATTTTCAGACTGTATTTTTGGGATGTTTCAAATGACGACACACAATATAATATGTTAGAAATAATGAAGAACTAATAAATCTTGTGGTTCACACGATTAGTGTAATGGTGTTGGGTCCATGATCGAAGTACATATATTTTTACTCATTATGTAATATGATTTATGTTGTCATAGTGGCGGTCACAGTCTTAGACTCTACAACTTAAACATTATACTATGTTTAATTTTTACAAATTTTATGTTTTATTTCATACTTGATAAACAAACAACTTGACGATTACTATTGTGAACTAATGTCGAATCATTAGTAATACCAAAAGCAAACAAGTTAAAAAATAATATTAAGAATCATATGTCGATTTGTTGCAAACAATAAATCACATTATTGTTATTAGATTATCAAGCTTCATCTAAATATCATATTAATCATTCACAATCATATCTAGGTAGAAGATGACTATCCTATTATCACGCGAATTAGGAGACGAAGCAAAAAATTAAACCAACATTAAGATTGCATATTCTTTACGGATAACTGCATGGAAGAACTTATGTCCTTAATAGTTTTTACGTCATCAATGTTTTAAACAACGTAAAACTCATGATTTAATATGGATTATAATTCTTTCTAACAACTATGGAGGAAACGATAAATAGCAAAGTGAATACTCTGAAATACAGAATCTAGAATAACTTCTTGCCGAATTCGCAGAGATAGAAAAGAGAATAAGACGTCTCAATTTTGGTGTGTGGAATACGTCTCTAAGAGAGTTGTATGAGAAATTAAATATCATCATACTTTTGTTTCTACTTATCCTCCTACCTATCTAAAATAATGACAAGTGTCTTAAAATATTTTTAATTTTATCAAATGTGACACATGTCACAATTTCACATAGGTAGGAGGATAAGTAGGAATAAAATGTAAGATAATATTTAATTTTTCGAGTTGTATTTATAGTCGTGGAAACCTTAGGAGCCTCCCAAAAACGTGGGACTATGACGACGACTGTCATACGGTTTAGTCAGATGCTTATCCACCAAGTTAACACATTTTTTAGGGTCAGAACCCAGAACCCAACCGGAAATAAAGGCACCATGGTTTAGTGAAGATGTGACATGAAAAATTCATCTAAATCGCATCATTTCATGAACCTCATGTGTACGGCCTAGCTTGGTACGCATGTGGGTTTGGCCCACCTTTAACCCATCAAAGCCTTTGAAGACTAAGGTCAAAGGATTTCTTATAAACCCCTTTAAACTTCTTTGGCCTCACCTATATGAGACAAAGGAAATTGCCACATAAAGTACATGTAAAACATATATTTTATATATGATGAATCAATTTTATAGGTGGAAAAATCATCGTTAGAAAAAAAAATAATCATTGATGTCTTGGTGGCATGTAGAGGTGGGTTTAGGTTTGTCTTGCCATCGTGATGCATTTTTATTGGGGAAAGTCGGGTGATAACTTAAGACTTAAAGGGAGTGGTTTTCGAGCTCTGCCAATTGCGTTGAGCTCAACCTAAACCAAACACATTTACCAAGCCTTTGTTGAGGAGAGAGGAACGACAACAAGCTGCCAAGAAGAAACGGCAACTCCATCTCATCCTTTTTCACCTCCACCCCTTGCCATCCCAACCTTTCCAAGCCTTTGATGAACTCACTCCCTTGAGTTTAAGGAGTTAAGCATTGTTAACATATAGTATAAGATTTAGTTGTTTGATATGATGTTGATACATTTTAATTTAATTGAATGAAATAATCAAAGTGTTACCTATCAAGTCCACAACCCAATACTTATCAAGTCCACAACCCAATACTTTACCTTACCTTTTAGTAACAACTTTCAATTGCTAATTACTTTCCTAGATTGGTCTTAATTGGTCTCTTCTTGGTTCATGGGCCTACCACACTTACGTTGAAGAGTGAAGACTCATGTTAAAATATTGTCGGTGGTAGTGTGAAAAGATCATAATTAATTAATTACCTTGTGACAATAGAAAATATGTATGTTTCATAATTTCATATGTATTGGGGCCTTATACTCTTTTAGCATATGAAAACAAACATTTCCACTATACAATTTATTTTCCACAAGTTTCACCAAGAATCGAGAAAATGAAATTTACTCCATGACATGACATTTTTCATGGAAGGGAAATAAAGTTTTACTCTTTTTACATTGGAAAAAACTATCAAAGTTTAATGCTTAAAAGAAAAAGTTGCAAACTTTTTTCTTTACGAAAAAGGATAGTGACATTTGGAGAGCAACTTCCATGGAAACCAACTGGTTTGGAGTCATGTTCCACTTCCTTTTCAAGAAATTTCTCGGTAACCACCAAAGTCCTTCTTCAATTCTTCTTTTTCTTCTTCAAATTGTGTCCTCTTCTCCACACATTTTAACAAATTACCATAAATAATTTCACACTACAATCACTATCATCTACCCATCAACATTATAAATCACTTCCCTTAGAAAAGAGTTACTTACAGTTCTATCAATGGCGAAGGTAGTTTAGTTATCTGCTGCTCTCAACTCCATTGATTACAACTTTTGACTTTATAACCTTAGTCGGGTTTTGATTTTCTAAGTGGGTTTTGCACTTTTGCAGAAGAAGAACCAGAGTAATGACAATGAGAAGCAGGTCAACGGTGGCCGGAAAAACAAAGACGACGGTGGTTGTGTAACAGTGGTTCTCAAGATCGACTTGCATTGCAAAGGTTGCGCCGATAAAATCGTTAAAGCTGTTCGTTCTCTCGATGGTAATCCGTTTATAAGTTGACAACTCGGTTTCATTTCGAATTTCACTGGCTGTTGTATCATCTATGTTTGTTTCTTGCTAAATATGGCTTCTGTAACAATTACCGATTTTGATTTGTGGGTTTGGATTCGTTTTTATGTTTTGTATCTATAGGTGTGGAGTCAGCCAAGGCAGGAAACATCGAGCTGAAGAAAATCACGGTGATCGGTAAAGTAGATCCGGTGGAGCTCCGGAAGAAGGTTGAGGGGGTGATCAAGAAGAAGGTGGACTTGATATCTCCAGTAAATGACGGTGAAAAAAACAACCAGCTTTCCGGTGGCGGTGGCGGAGGACAGAAGAAACAACAAAAACAGTTTCCGGTGACAACGACGGCGTTGAAGGTACCATTACATTGCCAGGGATGCATCGACAAGATTCAGAAGATTGTCCGCAAAACCGAGGGTAATAACGTAATTTTGTATTTCAAAAGTCAATAAGCAATAAGCATAATGGGATTACAAACGGTGTTAACTAACGGGGAAAACTTTGACAGGGTTTATAGATATGTCAATCGATAAGAGCAACGATTTGGTGATGGTGAAGGGAGGAATAGACGTGGATGCGTTAACGGAGGAGCTCAAGGGTAAACTGAAGAAGAAAGTTGATATTGTTCCGGCGAAGAAGGAAGGCGGTGGTGGCGGTGAGAAGAAGGAAAAAGGTGGCGGTGGTGGCGGTGAGAAGAAGGAAAAGGGTGGCGGTGGTGACGGAGAGCGGAAGGAAAATGGTGGTGGGGGGCGGGGTGTGGATGTGCATAAGATGGAGCACTTTTTTGGTCAAGGTCAATACACGTACCCTCAGTATGTAAATGGGCCGGAGTATGTGTTTAATTACATGCATGCCACTCAGATGTTTAATGACGAAAACCCTAATGCGTGTGTTGTTATGTGATAGAATGTAAAAGTCTAAAAGATATGTTGTTGGAGCTTGAACTAGTATCGAAACCAAGAAAGAAAGGGATAATGTATTTTGAGGGTAATTAAGTTTTGTAATTATATATTTAGTTTCTTTTATAAATTTTAATGATTAATAAATTTATATAAAATATTTAAAAATCGATTTGTAATTAATGGTTTTTCCAGTTATTCGAGATTTCTTCGACAATCAATAAACTTGTTAGGGTAATCAAAATTTGCAATTATACATGTTTGACAAGTAAATTTAGAGTTAAAAGACCAAATTTTGCCAACGAACTATTTTAAATATCTCTAAAACACTAATTTTTGAATCTTACAGAACAAATATGTTGCAACCCTACTTCACATATCTTTCTCCGTCAAATGTTTAAGAATAAAGAAAAGTTGAAGCCTAGCATGGGAATTGAAATACATTAAAGAGAATTTTAACATATTAGCGTCAAGACATGCAAAAACATGGTTACTGCATTTTATCATTATATTTTAAATTGTTATAAATATAAGAAAGATATTTTTCTTAAGTATTTTACGAGTGTTTTAAGTACAATGTTATAAAGGTAAAAGTAATGGTTTTATTTATGCATTTTCTTTATCGGTTTTGTTTGAGGAGGCACTAACGTATTATTTTTGGCATGTGTTTCGATTGACAAACAATTTAGTGGTGGAGCTACATGGGGCATTGGGGGTACTACAACATCCCCCAAAAAAATTGTTTTATATATATAAAATAAATTATTTGTAAACATGATCTAAGTTATTGTATCCCCAACTAAAGGGATTGTATCTTGTTTTGAATATTGACGGTGTTTGCTCCCCCGTAACAAAATTCCTGGCTCCGCCGTTGAAACAATTATAGTACAAACGAAAACAATGCGTAGTAATATGATGAAGAACGAAGAAGAGAGGTTTATGCTAAATAAATAGCTAGATAGTTTTCGTATAGTTTGTCTTTGATTATGTTGGAGTAGCACATACTGAATTGAACAATATGTTTTAGATTATTTAATAGTTTTTTTTTTTGGACTTTCATTTATTTTAAACTAGAAAATGCTTCTCCCCACTTCCCTGGGGACTCAGACAAGGTTTTGCTTACAAAATTACAATGATTGTTTTTGAAAAAAAAACTCATAAGGACCATTTTTGTAATTCATTTTCTACATAGGGACAAAAGCTCCCATTTTAAAGTTTGTTATTTGGAAGGGGCATTTATGTATTTTTTTTAAACATATGTACCATTCCTGTAAATATAATTATGCACAAGGACCGTTCTTGTAATTTATTTTCTACGTAGGGACGAAACATGGGAAACCTGCAAATATGTTAAAACACGAAAGGTAAAGAGATAAAAAATGCCGGTGTTCAAAACTGAGGGGCTAAAAGTGACATTTTATAGAGTGGGGGATGAAAAGTGACATTCGAGCAAGTGGTGGAAGGTGCGAACGCACGAAAGTTTATGGATCATTCTTGTAATTTATGTTCTATATAACGACCAAACATTTGAAACCTGCAAACATGCGAAGATACGAAAGGTAAGAGATGAAAAATGTCAGTGTTCAAAATTAAGGGTCTAAAAGTGACATTTTACAAAGTGGATGATGAAAAGTGTCATTCGACAAAGTAAGTGATGGAAAATGCAAACGTATGAAAGTTTAGGGATCAAATATATCAAAATTATAAAGTTTTGTGGCTAAAGTCTAAATAAGAAAGTTTATGGCTAAATTTTAAGATTATTTGTGGCTAAAGTCTAAAGTGATAAAATTTTGGGGCAAAAAATATAACAATATAGAACTATGCATTATGGCCAAAATTTAAAATAAAATCTTTAGCGACAAAAGTCTAAAAAACTAAATCTTTATTATTCATAACTACTTTTGTTTTAACATATATAATAATATTATCCATTATGGTTTATAAATGTTATTTTAAAACCTACACGCTCATAAATGCTATCTCATTGCCATCACCATGCATGATGAGTTTGAAGTATTTCAACCATACAACAAAAAATGTTAGAATGAGAGAGGTTATGAAAAATGAGATTTAGATGAATTTGAACAAAATGGAACTTGGACTCTCAAAAGAAAGGCCTTGCCCGGCCCGGTTAGGTCCTTGCCTTTTTCGTAAAATCCCGTTCATTTACTTATGTTAGGCGTTGCTATCATTTGGGGTTTGTATTTTGTTGCTTTGTGCTTTTAGTCCTCTATTAATGTTTCACCTCCTATTTTGTTGGGTTTAGTGGTCAACTAAAAGTTTCAGCAAAAGCAAGACAAATTATTATTTGTATAGTTTGAAGAGATAGTATTTGATTTTAGAAAGAAAGATATTGACTTTGGGTGGTGTAGCATTTTTTCTTTATTTTGTTAAGAACAATTTAAAATTTAATTAAAAATGTTTTAATTTATGGCATATGTGACTAAGAATGCAAACAGCTTTGAAATGGATGCTTTGTTGTATCATACATTGCGAATGAAAATGGATTTTAGTTAGTTAATTAATCATTCTCAACCATTTACTATGACAAATATTTGTTCTTTTTAGGGTTTAGGTCATTTTTAGTCACTTAACTTTTGGTTTTGTACTCATTTGGTCACTTAACTCTTTTTAAGTTTTAAAAGGTCATCAAACTTTTGGTTTTGTACTCATTTAGTCACTTAACTTTTGGTTTGGTCACATTTAGTCACCTAACTTTTAAAATTGTGCTCATTTAGTCACTAAACTTTTAAATTTTTTCAAAAGTTTAGTGACTAAATTAGCACAATTTTAAAAGTTAGGTGACTAAATGAGCACAAATCTAAAAGTTAAGTGACTAAATGTGACCAAACCAAAAGTTAAGTGACTAAATGAGCACAAAGTCAAAAGTTTGATGACCTTTTAAAACTTAAAAAGAGTTAAGTGACCAAATGAACACAAAACCAAAAGTTAAGTGACCAAAAATGACCTAAACCCTTCTTTTTAGTGTTTGTATTTTTGTTTTTTGAGATAATGATTTATGAGAGTAACGAACTCTTTTTTTTACATCATTTACTATTGAACTTGTTTATGGTGTTCAAAAAAATCATCATTGACTGTTTTCCGGCAACTTTGACATCTTTGGCAACTCCCCGGTCATCTCTCTTACGAATATCCCGTCAACATGAGTTTTTTGACTAGGTGTTGGCACATCATATTAGATTTTTTTGGAAATTGTCATGAAAACAAATTTTGGAAAATTTTATTGAAAATGATTTTGGGTTCAAATGATTTCAGGAACTTAAGACATGCATGAACAGAGGAAATTAAGATCTGCAAATCGATTTCAGGAACATGCTTTTCGGTTCAAATGATTTTAGAATGAGATATATTCTCGAGTTCATCGCAAACGTGATCTGAAGGGATTTGTTGAAAGGTTTTTTGTGGTTGGTTCATCAGAAAGGAGAACTAAAAGGGTTTTTTTTTTTTTTTTTTTTTTTTATCTTCTTCTTCTGAACTCATGTTATTGAATTTATCAGAAACAAGAACTCATGTTCTTCGGATCAGAAGGGGTTTTATGAGCGGTTCATTGGAAACGAGATTTGTTATTATATTCATCATAAACAAGAACTCATTCAAGAATCGATTCTTCAAAAAGAACTTATATCCAAGAACTCCAGAAAACTCATGTTGGCAAAATCGTCGAAAACCAGCTAAATGTGAACACTAAAAACAAGGATAATGGTAAATGGTGTAAAATAGCTGGTCATAATGATCTTGTTTGAAAGTCAAATACAAGTTAAATTGTAAAAAGCGTACAAAAAAAACAACTAAATGTTAACAAAAACAAAAGTTCGTCATCCTTATATGTCATTAACCCTTTTTTTCTATACTTTTATCATGAACATGTTTAATGTTATGATTTTCTCTTTCTTTATAAAGCTAGATATCTATTTTGGTTCCGAGTTTTCTACAAATAACAAACCCTACCATTTACGTTTATCAAATATATATATATATATATATATATATATATATATATATTAACTTATGGTTCTAAACATTTGTTGAAAGCCTCATAATTCATTGAGAAAACTGCAAAATGGTGTAGTTTCAACTTTTCTTCGACCAAGGTCCAAAAAAATTTCAACTTGCAAAAATAAAGACCGTTTACAAACGTTAATCCAACTTTAACAACCCTTCCACGGATAATAAAAAAACAAACCCAAAACAATCTACACCTTTCATCATACATAAACCATTCCAAATATTCTAATTCCCTAAAATATTACATTTTGGCTCGAACTTTTTCACTAAGTTCCCTCCTTAGCAGTTTCCCTGAAGCCGATTTTGGCACACTGTTTACAAATGTCACTCTCTTCAATCTTTTATAAGGTGCAACCTGTAATGATAATATTCCAATAAGTATTGTTTTTTTTTTCTTTTTTTTTTTAAATAATATAAAATATCACAAATATTTACCTCTTTAGCGATAAATTTCTTAACATCTTCTTCCGTCAATGAACTGTTTGGAGACCGGACCACAAATGCAATCGGGACCTCACCAGCTTCCGCATCAGGAAACCTTCCAGACAGAATTTTAAACCGATTACATCATAAAAACAAATCTAAAAAAATAGCAAATTGTAAAAAAAAAAATAGCAATTTACTTTTAACCATTTTTACTGATATGAGCAATATACTTCAATTTTTACCCATAATAGCAAGTACACTTACTTACGGTTTTAACCCAATAAAGCAATTTTAACATGGAAAACTACTAACTTCTTACCATTTGATTTTTTTTTTTTGCTTATGTGGCAATACAAATATACAATTGACAAATCAGTGTTCGAATATTGCTATTATGGGTAAGAAATAAAATATATTATTCATATTGGTAAAAATGGTAAACCACATTGCTATTTAAAATTGTAAATATGCATAAAATTCTGAAAAGATTGTCTTTTTGGCTTACGGAATCACTGCAGCATCCAAAATTTCAGAATGCGAAAGGAGAACTGCTTCAAGCTCTGCTGGAGCAACCTTAAAAATATGAAACATAAATCCAAGATTAAATAATCCTTTTTTTTTCCAAAAAAAATACAAAAAAAAAAATACATATTACATTTTTTTTTTACCTGAAAACCCTTGTACTTAATGAGTTCTTTAATTCGGTCAACCACAAATAGTTGACCATCATCATCAAAATACCCAAGATCCCCCGTATGCACAAAACCCTGTTTATCTATCGTCAGCTTTGTAGCCTGAGCATTATTGAGATAACCTGAAAATTAAGATTATATATATTACTAAAAAATAAAAATCATCGTGAAATATATTTAATATATAATTAAATTAAACGTACCTTGCATCATATTAGCTCCTCGAACCCATATTTCACCCATTTGATTAACGGGAAGAGGTTTTCCAGTATCGACACTAACTATTTGAGCCTCGACACCTGGAATAAGTCTCCCTGCGGATCCAGAGTGACGTGGGCCCATGATTGGACTTTCCACAGAGACAACTCCAGTTGTTTCAGTCATACCATATCCCTGTTGGGTTTCTTGATTTTGTTACTTATTTTCAAGATTTATAAAGAAAAATGAAAAATTAAAGCAAAATGATGTTTCAATTTTGACTTTGATGGGTTTAATAGGTTAAGCGGTTAATCAAGATAGCTATGCATGGATGTTTCTTTTTGACGTGATCAAACAGATAAATTTTATACATAAAAAACAAAAGGGTAAAATAGTCATTTTCACCATTCAACACACGTAGTCAGATACATAATCAAATAACATGTTTTCATTAACTTCTAACTCAGATAGCATGATAAATATTGTGTTTCAAGAGGGCAAAATGGTTTATTTTCTTGAATTCAGAATCCAAAAAAGAAACAAAAAGGACCGAGTGTTACAACGCTTTATCCACTCAACATCATTATCCACAAGAAAAAGCAGATTGTACGTACAACCTTTTTATAAAGTTTAGTTAAGCCCATTTTGTGTTGTCTTTTGTATATATATTAAAATTGTAACAGGCATAACATGTTTAATTCAAGGTGTCACCCAAGATTACTTGACTTTGTTGACATATTTTCAAGATTCATATAAGAAATTAAGAATCACAATATCATGTGCTAAATTAAGTTTAAAATGGGTAGAACATATGAAAAGACCAAATAACATGACCCAAATAGGCAAAAAGGATCATATGATTACTAATTTGCCCATGTGCATAACAATCGAACAAATACAATCACAAAACAAGATCATTAAACGTATATAAGCTCGAATGAATTGGAAGTTTACCTGAAGAATCAAAACATGTGGGAACTTTTTGGCACACTCCTCCATTAATTCTTTCCCCAAAGGTGCAGCGCCTGAACCGATTTGCTTCAAAGAAGAGAGATCAAACTTCTTCACTACATCGTGTTTAGCTAAAGCAAGTATAACAGGGGGAACAACCCATAAATGGGTCACTCTATATTTCTCGACGTTCTTTAATACCCCTTCAAAATCAAATTTCCCCATTGATACGATGGAGTTTCCTTCCTGTAATTGGGAATATAATATAACCCCAAGTCCAAATATATGAAACATGGGCAAGAAACATATGTATCTGTAGTATTTCTCCCCCATTAATCGTTGATCAGAAGTTATCATCTGTGAAACTGAGATGAAATTCCTATGGGTTAAAACGACGCCCTTACTAACACCGGTTGTCCCAGAAGAGTACAATAAGGCCGCAGTATCGTCTCCTCGAATCGAAACATTAGGGAGTTCTGAAACTGAAGGGGATTTTGAAATTAAGTCTTTGTATGAAAAACTTCCTTTTCTTGGAGTTTCTGATCCTAAAAACACAACCGGCAGACCAAAGTTTTGAACTTTTTGGTACAATTCTGGAACAGTGATGATGAGTTTGGGTTTGGAGTCTTTGAGTTGCTTCGATAGCTCGCCGACAGTGTACTGGGGGTTGACGGTGGTGGCGATGGCGCCGAGAGCGATGACAGAGTATAGAGAGACGGGGTATTGGATTGAGTTGGGGGCGAAGATGAGGACGACGTCGTTTTTAGCGATTCCCAGTTGGGTGTTCAAGGCGTGAGAGAGCTTGGCGACGGTGGTTTTGAATTCGGAGAAAGTGAGGGTTTCGCCGGAGTCGGAGTCGATTAATGCGGGTTTGTTTGGGTAAGATGAAACGTTACGGAAGAGGAAGGAAATCATTGATGTGTGGGGTTTTGCTGGGATGACTAGTGGTGGCCGGAGTGATCGGAATATTCCGTCGCGGCCATACCCGGATTTCTCCATTGACCTTGTGTGTGATAATCAGTGATGAGATGACTGACGAAAGATGAGCAATTTGCACCAAATGATCTCTCCAAGTGCTCATCATCTTGATTTCATCTGACATCTTATACTCGTCAATCTTGGCTGGTGACGAGTGTAAATTTTGTCTTTTTTCTAATTTTCATTGAGAAATTCCAAAAAATAGAAAGCATTTTTTTTAAACAGCTTACGTCAAAAACCATTTGGTTAACCATAAAGTTTGATTTTATTTTTAAAATAAGTAATAACCATCATATAAAATTTCTTTATTATATAAAAACTATATAGTTTGAAAATTTTCCATTTAATCATTTCATGAAAAAAAATCAATTTAAGATTTGAAAGTTTAATCGGAAAAAAACCATTTAAAAAAAAACAAATTCATTAATGAAAAAATTAGGATAATGTTGGGATAATGACTTGAGAGGATAACAAACTTTCGACTTTGTTTACATTTAGTCACTAAACTTTTTTTCATTATCTATTTGTCACTGAACTATTGAAACTGTTCACATTTTACCATTATAACCGGTTGTTACCGGTCATAAGGGTAAAATGTGAACAGTTTCAATAGTTCAGTGACAAATAGATAATGGAAAAAATTTTAGTGACTAAATGTGAACAAAGTTGAAAGTTCGTTTCACTCTCAAAAAATTCAATAACTAAATGTGAACAAACTTTCCTCTTGTATTATGGTTTAGCAAATTATGTATTTTTGTTAAATTTTAACAACATTTGTTGATTAAGAAATCTATGAAGAAAAAAAAACTCGAAAAGGTATAAAAAACATAAAAAAAAAACCAACATTATATGTATAAGTTTTATGTTATAAAACTATGCAATATTATATGTATAAAAATTTAGTGACTAAATATAAACAATTTCAATAGTTCAGTGACAAATAAAGAATGAAAAAAAATTTAGTGACTAAATGTGAACAAAATCGAAAGTTTGTTACCCTTTCAAGTCATTATCCCGGATAATGTTACCGTAATCAACTAATTTTTAGTTTTTGATTTAAAAAGTCATATTTTGTTTTAAATTTAGCATTTACCCTATGTGACTTTTTTTTATTGATTTTTAATATATATAATGACAATAGTTATGTAAGATTGAACGTATTTATATTATAAAACAACATATTTTCTTTATCATTCTCAAAGAATAACATTGTCCATACGTCCGCACAATAATTAGTTAGAATAGAATAACCTAAGCCATATATATATATATATATATATATATATATATATATATATATATATATATATATATATATATATATATATATATATGGCTTAGGTTATTCTATTCTAACTAATTATTGTGCGGACGTATGGACAATGTTATTCTTTGAGAATGATAAAGAAAATATGTTGTTTTATAATATAAATACGTTCAATCTTACATAACTATTGTCATTAACACACATTCTCACTAATTATATCGTCTATAAGGTTATTATACACTTATTATTATTATTATTATTATTCTCATTTCTATTAGAATGTTTATTGGATCGTATTATGTCAGAATGAAAATGAGTGAAAAACGATGTGTGAAAACAAAAATAAATAATAATTAGCGAGAATGCATGAAAATGACAATATTTTTGTAAGGTTAAACGTATTCGCATTGCTAAACAACTTATTCTCTTAGTAATTCTTATAAAATAACATTGTCCACACATCCGCACAATAATTAGTTAGAATACTTGAACCTAGCTGAAATGACCTCTTTCATACTTAACATTATTACTCCAAGTTACTCCAAAACATGCTACATGCATATTTATAAACAATATTTTACATTGATAGTTTAATTACAAAAGACTGGATACAAACCGACTAAGTTTTAGTATATTAGATAACTACCCAGAAAATTATAATTATATACATACACGATTACTAAAAACAAAAGTAATATTATTAACTATTCTAAATCTTCCAACAATATGTGTCTATACTGGCTCCTTATTACCTGCAATGGTTAAACACTGAGAGGGATAAACGGTGAGGCTTAGGGGTCGTTTGATAGTTGCTGACTGGGTTAGAGCTGACTGAGTTAGAAGCTGACTGGGTTAGAAATGCTGACTGAGTCCATATCTGACTGAGTTTATGTTGTTTGATTATTTATCTGAATGGTTGTGCTGAATGAAAAAATGACCATATTACCCTTGTGTTGTCTCTTGTGCTGGATAAAAAAATTATAAAAACACAAATTATCATATAAAATCCAAATTAAACATACATCAAACATATCATACATCAGTTTGCTAACATATCAATAAGATAAAACATATATTTTTTTTCTTATCTGTTTTCATGTGTTTTAGTGTATCAAATACAGATAATATACATAAACATTTCATATATCAATTTGGTAATACACATATACCTATGTAACAAATTCTGATCATTGTCTTGAGCATTTTGATCTTACACACATATACACATAAACATATCATATACACACAGTACACAATTCGTTCGATTTAACAACCATATAAGGGGCTGTGATTTCACACTTATTACCAACAATATAAATTTCTTCAAAACATAAGGGGCTGTTGTCTTGAGCATTTTGATCTTACCAGGCATATATACACATAAGGGGACTACTTGTTGAAATCACAAAGACAGGAAGGGTGTTGTGATTTCAGATAAAAAAAAGCAAAAAAAAAAAAATCACGCAGTTACCTGTGTGTGTGCGTCGCTGATGAAGAGTGGATGCGTCGTCGCCGGAGAAGTCGCCGCAGCGTCGTCGCTGGAGAAGAGGGGCTGCGTCGTCGCCGGAGAAGATAGGGAAGGAGGCGATCAACAGGTCTTGGCGATGGAGAAGGAGAAGACGGGAGCAACTTTTGTCTAGGGTAATGGCGATGGCGAAGGAGGCGAGTGAGGGCAAAGGGCAAAAAAGAAAACGCGTATCTAATTTCCAGTCAGGAGAGTTTTTTTTGGCTTACCGGGTAAGAGAATTGGCTGACGAGTCAGCTTTAATTTGTATTTACCAAACATCCGACTGCTGACCGAGTCAGCAGTCAGCACTGACCGACCCGGTCAGCTTAAATCAAACAGCCCCTTAGTGAGTTCAAAAATAGATACAACATAACGTTATGCCATATATATACCAATATGACAGAAGCAAAGAAGATCAAAGAACAACAAAGGAAGATGAGTATCATATGTCATGCTTTCCATATCAACAAATAATTTGATTCAAAGATTTACAATCAATGAGATACAACAATTTCAACTTGATATACGTCAATAAGACTTTAGCCCAAGTGGCACAGAAAATAAACTATTTCTGAATAAACATTTTGCTAGAATTTACAGGCTTTCAGCCCTATCTAACATTCTGCCAGTGCCAAAGTGATGCTTACTCATACACTTCATGGTCAAAGGCTACATACCAGTACCCAATTGATGCTTAGTCATTCACTTCAAGTCAAATGTATAGCACATTTTCATAAAAACACGGGAAAGCATATTGAACATATAACACATAACATACAATTGTTCCTATAATTTGAACTCACCGTCAAATAACCGGGGGTTAAAATAGTAATTTGAGCAACACTTCGTTTCTATAATTAACTTTCTTCGATGAAAACCGGGAGCTTTATTGAAAACCGGGAGTTTTTATTGAAAATTGGGCCTTGCAAGGGTTGAGCTTCAAACCGAAAAGATAAATTTCTCGGGCTCTTCGGGCACTCCGAAGCGTTTTTCAGGTGTTTGGTATTATCCAGGGGCTTGGGGGAAGTTGAAATAGCAAAAATAAAGCTTTAGGGTGAAAAATGTGAGAATTTCTAACATTAGCCGGGAGGGTTCGCACCTCCCTATTTATAGTGCAAGGTTCGGCCGAAGGGGGGGAGCACGTGGCTCGCATGCGCGGAGGGAAGGGCCAGGCGTCGGATGTTCGCAGGCTAAACGTGTCGGAGTCTCGGACGCAACATGCGTTGGATGAGTCAGCAGCTTCGAACACGGGGCAGGCTTGCGAGCAAGGGCGCGTTCCTCGGATTTTGTGTCCCGAACTTCAAAAATTCATAACTTTCACATACGAGCTCCGTTTTCGACGTTATTTATATGCGCCCGTAGGCGAGATTATACTCTACAACTTCGTTTAGACTCCATCTGCTAATTTTGATTTTATTTTTAATATTATTATTTTTAACAGACTGGGACAGGAAAATCCGTTAAAAATTCATAACTTCTTTATCCGACGTCCGTTTTCGTTTGTCTTTTTACCGTTGTACTACTATTGACGAGACATTCGATTCTCGTTTAGGCTGTGTCGGCTAAAAATCACTCGATATTTATTTCGAGTTTTTAGCTATATACTGCTATACTGAAACTTAGAAAAATCATAACTTCCTCATACGCAGTCAGATTTGGACGTTGTTTTTATGAAAATTCTCGGTTTAACGAATAGTACGAATTTCATTTAGATCACTAAAGCTAAAAAGCAGTTTATCGAAAACTCAATTTTTACGCTAAATAGTGATTTGCCGGTTTTGTCGCGGATCTTCGATTGGTCATAACTTCTTCGTTATAACTCGGATTTCGATGAGGTTTTCGCCTAAATGTTTCTAACGAGATAATCTACAACTTTCAATAACATTATTTTTATTTATTTCCAACTTTATATTTTCGTTAATTTCAATATTTGACTTTTGATTGTAATCTCATAAGACTTCCAATACTTTCCGAATGATTCTAAACATAGTTTTACTTCAATTCTTCATAAAACTATCTTGTTAGAACTCAACACTCAAAATCATATATTAAATAATATTCATTTTTAAACAAAACACGATAACTGAACGTGTATGTTACAAATACCTCATCCTTTTGAGGATTTCGTCCCCGAAATTACAACGATTTAAACAAATGGGGATATTTCGCTCTTATTTCATTCTTATTTTCCCAAGTATAATTTGGGCCTGTATGGTGTTTGTACTTGACAAGCACCAACTCCATTTTTTTATTACGTGGATTAGTCGTTCTTTTGTTTACGATCTCTTCAGGCTCTTCTACATATCTTAACTTATTATCCAGTTT